TGTTGAATTTTGTTAAATGCATTTTTCTGCATTTACTCATATGATCATAAGATTTTGTCCTTTATTTTGTTAATATGGTGTATCATATTTATTGTCTTAAGTGTGTTGAAATATTCTTGAATCCCAGGGATAACTCCCACTCCATGACTTCTGTTTCTTTTTTTTTTCCAACTAGTTTTACTAGAGGTTTGTTGAGTGTTTTTTTTTTCTTAATATATGTAGGTGGACACAACACCTTTATTTTATTTTTTAAAGAGAGAGAAATTTTTTTTTTGAGAGAGAGAGAGAGAGAGAGAGAGAGAATTTTTTAAATATTTATTTATTTTTTTAGTTTTCGGCCGACACAACATCCCTGTTTGTATGTGGTGCTGAGGATCGAACCCGGGCTGCACGCATGCCAGGTGAGCACGCTACTGCTTGAGCCACATCCCCAGCCCCAAGAGAGATAATTTTTTAAAAATTTTTTGATATTTATTTTTTAGTTTTTGGTGGACACAACATCTTTTTTTTTTTAATTTTTATATGGTGCTGAGGACTGAACCCAGAGCCCCGCGCATGCCAGGCGAGTGCACTACCGCTTGAGCCACATCACCAGCCCCCCTTTATTTTATTTTTATGTGGTGCTGAGGACCGAACCCAGTGCTTTGTGCAAGCTAGCTGAGTGCTCTAACATTGAGCCACAGCCCTAGTCCCCTTGTTGAGCGTTTTTGAATCTGCATTCATTAGGGATATTGGCCTGTAATTTTATATTTTGTAATGCCCAAATCTGACTTTGTTATTACACTAATGCTGGCCTCATAAAACAAGTTTGGAAGTTCCCTCCTCTTTATTGGAAGGAGTTTGAAAACATTCTTTAAATGTTTGGTAGAATTTAGCATTGAAGCCAGTGTGATCCTGAGCTCTTCTTTTTTGAGGTTTTTCTTTCTTTTTTCTTTTTCTGTGATGCTTGGGATTGAAACCAGGGTCTTGTACATGCTAGGCAAGTTCTCTATGACTGAGCTATACCCCAGCCTGAGATTTTTTTTTCCTGACCCCCACCCCCCTAATACTGGCAATTGAAAACAGTGGTGCTCCACCACTGAACAGTATCCCCTGTGAGGGCCCCCTCCCACACTTTTTTTTCCCCCTAAAACTTGTGATCCTTCTGCTTCAGCCTCCCCAGTCAGTAGTATTATAGGCATGTGCCATTGTACTCAGTTGCAGCCTGAGTTTTTAAACTACTGATTTAGTCTCTCTTGTTA